GAGATCGGCCTTTTGAGTGCCTGGTCTGCTTAAAGAGATTTGTTGAGTCAGGGACTCTGAAGAAACATCTACAAACCCACACAGCAGAGAAGCCGTTTGAATGCACATTCTGCCAAAAGAGATTTGCTCATTCTCGAGATTTGGAAAAACATTGTCATACCCACACTGATGATAAGCCTTTTAAATGTACGGTGTGTCAAAGGACATTTCCTCAGTCTGCGAGTCTGCTTACTCACCTACAAACCCACTTACATGATTAGCGACCTGAAACTTCGTATTTCCATATACATTGCTTTTCAGCGTTATTTGTGTCACAAACGACTAATGTTGGCTAGATGAACAGTCTTTTACCTTTTCTGTATGACATTACATATTGCATGTGTACTAAATGTAGTTTCCCTTGCTAGTTAGTATAGACTTGTCGCCTATTTTAAAGAGTGGCGGATATAACACCGGAAATCATGGAATAAGAAAGGATTGTTACTAGCATCTCGGCGCCCGGGTTATTCTCACTAATTTTTGTTAAACAATAATGGTTTTGCTTGGATATTTTCCTTAATTTCTGTTAAACTATTGTGGCCTGTACCCCTCGTATATCTGTTCTGTTCAGTGACTTCTTATATAAAAATAAATCTTATTTGTATTCGTTTTCACTCTTAATTTTTGTAAAGTATTTGTGTGCGTCTTTTTATTTGTATCTTTTTTATCTATTAGCCGAACGGTCTCCGTACGCAGAACATGTCCGAATACGAAGACCATAATCCCCGCGACGCTTACGGCCTCTTGGGATGGAAAAGCGTTGCCACAAGGACCGTTTCATTTCAGGGTCACCATAACAATTTCTCGTAGGAATAATAACCACCATCATCCACCATGGGCTCTGCTGTCTGTTCCGACAGCCCTAGTCCATTATATCTCTGATCGTCACCCAGAGCTGCAGCCCCAGCCCCCAGGTCCTCCGGGCCGTGCCCCAGCCCCGCGCACGCCTTAGCCGCGCCCCCGGGGCCGCGGGCGCGCGGCGGAGCCCCGTCCGTCTGGCACCACAACCGCGGCGGCGCGCGCAGCCCGGGGGGCTCTAACCTGTTATAGAGGTGTTGACCCATTATTTCCACCTTTTTAGCGCGATTCATTATTGCCGAGGCGTGTGTAATGGGCCGTGGACCTGCGGCCCGTGGCACTGCTCCTCCAGGCGTTCCAGGCTCCGGCTCCCTCCAGGCTGCTCCAGGCGGGGCAACGCGGGGGAAGGAGAGGAACACTCACCGGTCCGTTTACAAATAGCCGGATTTGGATTTATTTTCGATTTCACCTCTTTTGTTCGTCTTGTCGACGGAAATAAAAGTAATCTATCAGTTTTGATTTTTCTCGGCGAAGAAAAAATTGAGATCACTCGTTTTAGTCGGCGACCGCACTTGTTAACAGGACCGTCTTGCCGATATGTTGCTGCGGGGCTGGGATCTTCTCGTGGTGTACGCTGATCGCTGGTAAGGCGCGGTGTGCCTGGTGTGCCACAAGGACCCGGGTCAGCCCGCTCCAGCGACTCCAGCCCGGGCCTGACCAAGGGGACACGTGTTAATTAAGAGGATCCGATAACACACGCGTGTGCAGCGCGCACAACACGGCACCGCGCCACAAATCACCAGAGTGAGAAGTAAATAAAGCGCGCGAAAAGGACACAAAAGGAGTCGCGGGGCCAAGGGGGGCGCGGGTGATGTATGGTGGGGGGAGGGGCGGCAGCAGCAGCGTCATTATCGCCTCAGTGTGTCACCATACGAGCGCCCGTCGGTCAGAATTCTGCAAGGGGTGCGTAACGGTTACTTCACTGATATTAAAAGGGTTCAACTGCACTGGAAAAAGTAAGGTGCCTAGTCCTACCTTCAGAAGGCACCAACCTTAAAAATTTCTTGAACGCATTTTCCGAACGTTCTACTTGTAAGCACTGTCAATAGACGCCAACCCATTTACAGTGAGCTCAATTGCATCCGTAAAGTTTGTCTCACGTTCACGCCTAGAGATTCGCCGTTGTCCCTGTCTCAAAATTATCCCCGACATCGCTTTGCGGGCATGTCGTACGCGAATATCGTTATCGCCACGCATATGTCATCATCGACATCGGGCTCCGTCATTACCGTCCCGTGGCCGCTCGATTCCCATGGGGCACAATGGGGCCTCCCGGCCGCCTATGGCCGCGCCTGGCACTCCCGCCCGGCCGGCTTTACGACGCTGCGCACTCATCGTACCCGCTAACGGGCGCGTTTAGTGCCGATCGGTATGCACAAGTGTTTGCGCGCCCCTCTCGAGTTTCACTCGGACGTGTCCCGCCAGCGGAGCTCCGCCGTAAATCAAATTCAATTTAGCAAAACAAACGTTTTTGGTTTGCGCGGCGGCACAAGAAGAGGAGACAGGGGGCAGGGACGCGCTCTTCTCATCTTTTATTTTCAAGAAGGGCATGGAAGCAGACATTCGGCAGTGAGTGGGTTAAATTCGTAGGGGAAAAGTGTGTCCGCAAGGTGATAGGGCTATGGACGTACCTTACCTTAAGGAGCCCAAAGCAGAGTGGTTCATACTGTACCTAGCGCATGGAGCCGTGTCCAGGTGCGGACGGACAGCTGCAGTCCGCGCGGTGCTGCTCGCCCCCTTGTGCACTGAGTGGTGTAGAACCTGGCTAAAATACGCATGAAATATGCCGGCGGGTGAATAAAGAATCGTAAATAGGTGTAGCAGACCGGTGGGGGGGGGGGGGGGGTCGCTGTCTGTATTCAGACGCGTCGTGCACCAGGCGGCCGGAAAACCCCGTGCTCTTTCGTGCGTAGCCTGTACCGCATGGCAGTCGTGCGGGTGGGTTGCCTACCCGCCCGGTGCCATAAGGCGCCATTGCCGCAGAGCTGATGTCCTCGTTGGATTCCCGCCGCCGCTCGCCTACAAATGCGGACGAGGATTTTCAACTTCCTGGTATTTTGAGTGTTTCGAGTACTTTAATAAACGAGGTGTCATCAAGTCTGATGTTGCAATAGATCATCAATATTACTCATATTATTAGCAATGATACAGCAGTATCAGTTATATCGCGTCAATAGTGTAATATTCCTCGTGCATTGCCAATGGAAGCCCAATCGACTCAAGAGAATATTTCTTCATTGACGTTCGTTTGACGTTCAAAAATATTTAGAAGGTCAACTTGCAACTGTGCCTACCCTGTTGCAGCGCGTTAGAATGTGTGTTGTTTTGTTTTTTTGCAGAGCTTCACACTGTACGAGTACGAGCGCTGCAAGCGTCGATCCCATGAGCATCGCCCTAAAAGTCGCGGCGCAGAGTTGCAAAATACGTGCGTGATGTATGGGCTCTCTGCGCCGCCGCCGCCGCGCCGTCTAAAGTGAGCCGTTGGCAGCAGTGCAGTGCTGTAATGAGCTGGGCTGCGCTGGATAGGAACTTTGCGTCGACGGTGACGTGCTCGGGGGAGGGAGAGAAGCTGCGGAACTCCTGTGCGTGCCGCTGCGGGCGCGAGGCGGGCCGAGGCGATCTCGGCGGCCACTCTCATTTCTCGTTCACTCGGCGTGAGAACGAGGAATATTGGTAGCGCGGCCTGGCCCTTCTTCTGCCGCGGAGCAAACAGTGATTAGACTCGGCGCGGCCGTGTTTCTCCCCGTTGGGCCGGTGGGCCCCGCGCGGTCCATAGATCAAAAGCAGTGCGACGCCCGGCCACGCCCCCGTCACACCGGGCCTCGCAGCGCTGCGGAGCAGCCCCTTCGTGGGCTCAGCGGCGGGGCTGCGAATAATCGAACGTAACCGAACCAATTCTAGTACTCCCTGAAAAAAGAGCTTTCGATATTAGTACATTTTCGTGTACTTTATTTCCTAGAGTGAGTAGTGGTTGTTGTGAGTAGAATGCTCTCAACACAAGCAAAATGACTCATAAAAAAAATCGACAATCACCTCGGGTTTGCAAATAATAATCATGCCCTCCTCGGTGTTGGGTATGTCCACGCCGAGGAGGCGTCCCTCTCGCACTCGGAGGAGGAGGCTGAGGGCACTAAATGTTTCCTCATCCCCACTGCAGCAAATCACAACAACACGGCCACACCACTCAATTATTTACGACGATGACAAACCAAAGCCGCGCGCGTGATCGTGCGCGGAACATCCTGGCTCTCGCACTGGTCGTCCTGCTCGGGGGCGGACGGGCCGGCGCATAGGAAGAGCAGCGGGAGTAAGCGACTCAGCGCGCGCCGTTAACGTCGCAACATTTGTTCGTCATAAATTGAGCCGTCATTTCTGTTGACGTGTGCTGGACGTTTATGTCGGCCATAACCCTGGGCAGCTCCGGGGCCGGGCTGCACCGGTGAGCCAGCGGGACTGTGAATAAGGCCCCGGCCTGGCGCCTCCCGCCTCGGGTCAAGGCGCCTAGCTGTGCAGCAAGCTGTGCAGTACTGACATGGGCTCTGGCAGGGCTGCTCTGAGCCGGCCCGCGGGGGGTGGCGTGATTGGGAAGGAATAATAACACGCACGTGAGATGACATATACAACCCCTGCGCAATGAAGACCTCTGCTTTGTGCGCGGCTGCACACACTTATAAAATATGTTCAGCACTTGTAAGTTTGCAATTGCATGTTGAATGTACTTGCAGGAGTTCAACTCCATCCGTACTCTTGTATTCAAAATCAAACACTGTCTCTTTCATTACAATGTAACTTAGCTCGCTTGCCCCCAATGTCTATCTTTGGCTGCTGCAAGATTTTGAACGTTTGCACAGGTGCTTTCCTGGGATCCGTGATAGTTGTTGGTATACTCGTCTAAAAATAAAATTGGAAGGTGCAAGAGCAGAGCGGTTCTCTGACGTGCGCTCAACAACAGAAGCGACAGCAGAGACATGCGTTATGTTGCATCCCGCGTTCCCACACACCAATGAGTGTTTTCCCACCGGCAGGTCCGCCACCTCTGCTCGTCTCGCCTGGCAATTAGCGCCACTCCATTCAATTCATATCGCCGCCCCAGCCTCTCCTCTCACAAGAATTAGCCGAGTCGTGATTCTTTCGTTGCTGTTGCGATTTTGACGCGGTTGTTTCAGGTCGGCCATCGTCGCTATTTCTGCAGCGATGTGGGGCGCCGCCCCCTACACCCTCGGCGGCGTGGCGCCCCTTCTAGCAGCGGCCCTCTTCGGATATGGGATGTGGGTGATAGAATCTGCGTGGTGCGGGGGGTGGGTCGGGCGCGCCCCTGTATTCTGTATTGTGACTTTTCTGCTGTAAACAGCAAAAATGTGGCAAAATAACTCAAGTTTATCTGCCGTTGAGATAAGCGCTGGCTCGTTTGTGTGCTCGTCCTCTCTTTGTTTTCGCCAGCCCCCGCTGGCTTTTATTCACAGATCAGTGTATCGCGCGCGGACCCTTTTTTTCGCTTCTCCCTTTCCCCTTTCACAGATCCCTCTTCCCCTTCCATTTTTTTTTCGATTATTGAATATCTCTCCCTGTGCCGAGAAAACAACAGTGTCGCGAATGTGGGGCGCACGGATGAGGAGATACGCTGCTTGTCCAACGTTGGAAAACATTTAGCGCGCGGCGCCGCATGGGGGTTCAGCCTTCACATCAAAAGGTTACCGAAATGCTACGGGTGATTCTTCTCGCCAGCTCATCGTCGGAGCAGCGGCGCGCGGCGGACTTGCAGC